TTTCTTATAATCTTGCCGTATTTCAGTGAAAAATTTCAAAAAATACTAATGAAAGCAACTAAAAAAAATTTAGGAAATAATTTCTCATCAATATTAGCATTCTAATAATCGATTGAAAGGTATTTTTTGGGTGGAAAGTCAAAAATGCCATTTTTCAGGAGAACAAGAATTGATAATTTGCCGAATTTTACCTCATAATATCTTCTAATTTTTCATTAAAGTGTTTTTGTTTTTTTATTTTCTCAAAAAAACAACTTTCTACATTTTACATGTTTTTTGAGTTGGATTTCAATTGAATAAATTAAGAAATCTATTTGAAAATCAATTAATATTTAATGTTGTTCACAATTTCCCAATCTTTTTCATTAAATTAAAAACTTTTCCTATAAACTTGGAAAATTTTCTACAATCGGTGTTTAAGATGAATCTGATTTTATGCTTTTGCATTGTAAGAAGTGAGTCTGGAAATCTCTTTCCAACATCAATAAAATCTCGCTAAATATTGCCAAGAATGGTTGCACAAGACAGAATTGACAAATTTCAGAAGGTTTTAGTATCATTACACTTTGCGGTAAGCACGACAATAGCGAAGGAAATTCAGATATAAAAATCTAGGACAAGACCGAAAAAAACACATACTCAAAAGATAGGAAATCATCAAATTTATTTTATCGTTGTTTTCGAGACGTCCCACTGTTTTTCTCTCGCCATTCCGCACAGCATTTCATACCGTCTGGACGGAGTTGAGCACATCTCCTGAAAATATATACGAACCAACAAGTATTCTGAGGGGTTGGAGGGATGTTTTTGGTTGGAGGCCAAGCGAGGTATTTTTGTGAGATCCCTTCTGAGTAATAGGATAATTTGCATGCGAGACATGCAATGAAATTAGTGAAACAACTTTTAACTTTTTCCCAACCCACCCAGAGACACACACACTCGTCCGAAAAAGGTATTTCTCAGCACAGAAAGACAGAGAGTATGAAAAGTTTCTCGCAAAACTTGTCCTCCACACCATTTCCCTGCGGGGTTGGCTTTTTTTTTACCCTTGCATGCGCGCCATATAATGTGATGTGCAGAAGCCAAATGTCAGTGAAATCTATTCGAGCAACGTGGAACGAGTGGATGTACAGACTTTGAATAAAAATGCACTCTCGTGTGCACAAGGAGTGAAGATTCTGCTGAGAATTTCGCATTTTGAAGAGCATTTCTTTGTGCTCACTCACTCTGCATTTGCAGTTCAATTACATCACCCTGTTTAATCAGTGGAACGTACAAGATTCCCTCACTGAAAGATCCACATTTCAGCTCAACAGCAACACCCTTGGCAGAGTCACTAAGAGAATTATTAAGGTGTAACTAATGCACTTTTTCGGTGGAACATTTCGCTAGACGGCTGTTTTTTGTCACACACACACATTTCAGGACGATCCTGGTGCTCCTTCTTTCATATAAGTCCTGACGTGGGAGAGATAATTTGTGGCAGTGCAAAAGAAACACGATGAATACAGTTTGTAAAGAACTCAACAAGGAGAGAATTTCGCAACTCACACTCTCTCGACGGAAGGACAGGAAAAAAAGGAGAAGACAAGCAAAGTTGTCAGAGTTTTCAATTCCTTTGAAATACCCAAGATTTTTCTCGACTTTCACAACTTCCCCACCTCCCCTCATTCCACACAACCCCTCAGCGTGTCCATTTACAATTCAATTACGCGCCACCCCGAAGGTGAGTCGCTTTTCACCCAGTGGAATCAGTGTGTTTTGTAAATTTGATTGCAATTGAGACTCACTCGAGTGAGAAGTCTTTAATTATTCTGAAAGCATCCTTTCGGTCACTTCGGGGCCAGTATATTATTTATAATTGTCGAGTAATGCGATAAGCCAGGGCAACTTGGGACGAATCTTCAAGTTATACATTTACACAGCCCAGAGTAATAGCTCAACTGAATACAAATGAGCACGGAGAATCGATTGGGAAGTCAATGCTGTCCGTCGAGAGAACAAGCAGTGAATTTGGACACGATCAGAAAAAGTTTGCTCGAGAGCTTTTGGTGGAATTGAGATCAGAAGAAGTTCCATTAATATCAATGATTTAAGGATCGATGCAACATTAATTTCATAACATTTTAAATAAGCTGTCAAAGATATGAATTCGTAAAAATGCGTTGCAAGATTACGATTCATAACATTTACGAAAGCGAGGAATTTATCCACATGATCAATCCATGTAGTTGATATTAGGCAGGCATTCTTATGAACAATCTACTCCTCAAATTGTGATCTCATAATCCAGTCAAGAGGAGCTATGACACCGAAATATACCTCAAATGAGCTTTTCCGTCCTTTCTTGTTCCTCGGAATCAAGCTCTGAATGAACACTTTGACTTTTCTGACGTTGAAATACAGTTTTCCGGATTTCCCAGACACCTTTCGCACAATTTCTCACTGTTTGTTTACACTTTTAGCGCGGAATTTGAGGTTATGACAAAGTTTCACCGCTTTCGGCGCTGCATAATTACTATTCACATTGACGTCTGACGTCAATTTATATATTTCATTGCGTGAAGAGAAAGAAAGCTGGAAAATTCACGTGAAAACCAAGAAAATAGACAATATTATAATGTTATTTAGTTAATAAATACGAATTGATTGAATTTATCTGTCGTATTGTGCAAATTTCAATACAATAGATTGAGGTTATGTAGTTCCAGACATCGTTTGATTCCAGTTCAAGGAAACTAATTGGTTTTCCAAAGAATATACTCTGTACTTTGCACTAACGCCACCGAGCGGTCGTCAATATAAGCTATGAAAAGCGTAAAGTTGCAACTCAAATTCATAACTTTTACGAGCTCAAATACGAAATCTGTAAAGTTGCAACGACTTTTTATTTCAAATTATTTGAACTCCAAAGTTTATTGCGATTTTATGTTACATTTTCTATCAGTGTGATGAAATTGGCCCAATTCATCGGTCCTGATTGTTATTTCGTCTGGACATGTGAAGGCATTTCGAAGTGTATCTGAGAAAATATTTCAGAAAATGATTAACTAGAAGGGAAGGCGAGACGTTCTCGGCAATAACCTGAAAATACATATTTAATTAGGCCATTAATTAAAGCCCGCATTTTTCGACGCTCAACTCACTTGAGGATAAAAAGAAAATTGATGATTCTGTCTTATGCTATTCATATCATACGATAAATGATCCTGACCGCTTTATTAATTGTGCTTTTCGGCGAAAATGTCTGGCGCGAAGGAGGAAAAGCTAAACTTTCAGGGTGAACCAGAAAGGTGTGGTTAAGTTGTGTTGATTCAGGGAATTTGCTGAATATTTCCTAGAATGAACAAACAAATATGAATTACCGAGAATTTTTAATTATCATGAATATTCAATGTTTTAATTATGAAAATGTTTTAATAATCTTCTTTTGTGTTTGATGAATTTTATACAAACTATTATGATTGAACAGTTTTTAAAGCGTTTTGTGGAAAGCAATTTCATAAATTTGCATAAATATTAAAGCTGCAAAATGTTTTTTGCATCTATTCAGGAGAGTACAATTAAAATTAACAAGTTTTCCTGTGAATTTTCACAAATATTCCTCCTTCAGTCACATTTCACCTTCGATTGCACAACTTTTCCATTCAAAGTCTCGGCGAATTGTGATATTTCACCCAGAGCACAATGCAAAAGGATGAGAATGAATTTGGAAAGTTTTTAAGTGTGACTGTCATAATTTATTGATACTTCCGGAGAAGCAAACAAATCCCGTGTTGTTTTTCAAACGTAAAACTTCACTTTTCCAAATGCAATGCAATCTCAGAATAACTTTTATTTTAAGACCAAGAACGTGGCATGAGAAACACATCAATGAGTTGTTGTTTGCCACAAGGGGGAGATAATACAGTCAGAGGTGGTGTACAGCTCAGGAGAAGTACTTAAGAAGTGGAAGTGTTCAAAAACTTGTAATATTCCTTTCCTGCGTACTTCTTTTACTGCAAAATGATCCCGATTCTTTGGATTTCTTCTGAATTGTACGAAGAAACAATCTTTTTTGAGGTTATGTGACAAATCTAAGACAGATTTAGTGAATTTCGCATTCTAGCAAATCAATTATTATTCTAAAGTCGACAAGATTGTTAATCATTGGCAGAATTAAGCATTTTCATACGATAAATGTTGCTAAACACTGTAAATTGTATTGAAGACGAACATAACCTCAAAAATAGTCCATTTGGTCTTGGAAAATGTTATTTAGAGAACTTTCTAAACGATTTTGACTCAGAATCAGCAATTTTTAGTTGAAAAGATGATTTTATCATCAAGAAAGCTTTCAATTGGAGTCTTTTAAGATTTCTTAGTGATATTTCTGAGGTTATGATCGAGAAAGGTGGTCAAAAAAGTGGTTTCAAGTAGATTTTGACAGAAATATCGTATGGAAATCTTCTATAGTTTAGGAATCATTGTGGAAAAGGTCTAGAAATTTGAAGTGTTGTACAGAATAAGAGCATATTATCTCCCCCTTGGTTCGCCATGTGTTTTCTCTTCGGAAATGAACTTTACATAATTTGTTGTACAAAAGTTAAAATACATCCGAAGAGCTGAAAAGAAAAGCTTCAAACGGTAAATCGAAAGTTGGACAATTAACTCTTCCCAATGGAAACTCTTTCTGTTCTTTTCTTTTATTTTGTATTTGAAAATGCATGAGATTTTAACGTCTTTTTGGTAATTTCATTTGGGAAAATAATGTTACTTTTTCGCCTGCCTTTGTCAAATATTTATCTTCTTGACAGGATCAGGCTGTGTGCGAGGCAATAAAGGGTGTCCGCGAAGCGTCAACTTCGCATGCGCGTATTTGTCCTTTTTCACGTGATAAATTTTACACTTCCATGGCAACACATTTATTAAGGTTTATCACAACAAAGTTGAGTTTTGTGCGGCCGAAGAGAGTGGATTTGAGTATTTACGTAGGAAATTCAATTAGTTGGAGTGGCAAAATGAGTGTCCGTGATAACATTTACGCGGGCTTTTTCGCTGACTCGCCGAAGGCGCTGGATTTCGATGGCGCCGAGGCGGCTGACGTGGCGACGCCGCTGTCCACGGGACTGCGAACGGGCCAGGTGGGCCGCGGCTCGCTGTCGCGGATGGGCACCACTGCCCAGCTGGCCAAGGCGCGTCCCTCGACGGCGGTGAGAGGCGTCGGCTACTCGTCGGACGCGCCGCGGCTGTTTGAGCATCAGGCGCAGCACAAGAAGTCCGTGGTGGTGGACGCGAAGAAGCACCAGTCGCCGGAGGAGAAGTACCGCGGTCTGGAGAAGAAGATCCAGGATCTGCTGGAGCAGTCGATCCTGCTCAGCACGGGCGTCAAGGTGGACTTGCGCGGCGCTCTGGCGAAGGCCAAGGAAGCCTCGTCGCTGGATCGCAAGCTTCTGCAGATGCGCGATCAGAGCAACGGCAATTACGTGCACAACTTCGATCTGACATTCTCGGTGCTGTTCAATCTGGCCAACATCTACGCCCTCAACGACATGCACGTGGAGGCGCTGAACACATACAATCTGGTGACGAAAAATAAGATGTTCTCCAATGCCAACCGGCTGAAGATCAACATGGGCAATATCTATGTGAAATTGGGAATGTTCCCCAAGGCGATTAAAATGTACCGAATGGCACTGGATCAGGTTCCAATTAATCAGAAAGAGCTCCGGCTACGTGTCACTCACAACATTGGCATCCTCTTTGTGAGGATGGGTCAGTATTCGGATGCTGCGACCAGTTTTGAATTTATAATGTCAGAGAAGGGTGATGTGCGCGCTGGGATGCATTTGGTGCTCTGCTACTACGCCCTTGGCGACGTTGACAAAATGAAGCGAGCATTCCAATTACTGCTCGACGTCAGCACAGAATTCGACGAGGATGAGAAACTCAACGCCATTTCCGTGAGTCTTTTCGCCATATTTTTTGGCCACAATCAAGCGCCTTCAGCTTCTCCATTCGCGCCCGATAATGGCACTTTCCCATCCACTCTTCCACACTATCGAGTGGCTGATGGGAATGGAAATTGAGTGAGGATTTTCCGCCTCGTGGCCATAATTCGAAAATTCCACGTCTCATTGATTAACTGTTGATCAGAGAATAAAATAGAAAAGAATCATAAAACCTACATATTAATGCTGCATTATGTGCTGAATGTCCCCAAAAATATACTGTAATCGCATAATTAATTCGTTTTTCAAAATTTTCCTATTATAACTGATAAGAAGCACGAATAATTGGATTTCTATGCCTTGTTTAATATGTTTGTTAATTAGAATTTTATTCCTATAGCGATTTCAGGCCATTAACTCTGCGATTATTCATAAATATTATTGATTTTGCAAACTAATTTTCATTAATATTATTAGTATGTCACAAAATGTTTGAATATTTGATTATTCTTTGAATCTCCTTCATTATTTTCACATTTTTTCACCAGAGGGCAGCAGTTTAAACTCTAAAGATGTGTAGAAGTTCTGATTGTATTTCCCATTTTTGTTCAGGATATATTAAAATATATGGAGCGATTCCCACTAAAATAGAAAAATGTAAACACCTAAAAGTGTAACATTCGAAAAGAATAAGGAAAAACACGCCTTTGTATTCTCACTTTAAATATTGTGTTAGTGATTGAGATTTTTAAGCGATTCCATATTCTGTACAAGAAAGAAAATTGTGAAATTTGCCAAGATTATTAAAAACACAAGAAAATAATCAGTAAATCTGTGATAAAAAGGATTAATTGCAAACATCCTTCATGTTCATGCTTCAAAATTGGAGCCACAATCACAGATTGATCCATTTTTGCAAGTTATTCTGCATTTTCCGGTCTGTCAAGCTGCTTTTAACACATTTCTTAAAACAACATCAAAAAAGTCAGTTTAAAATAACACATTCAAGCGGTGCAAATTGCCTTAACATGTGTAAATCGGAATGAAATTTGTAACACAAATTTGGTGATTTTTCAAGACAAAACCGTCATTTAAAGCCTTACATGTGTGTGAAAATCATTTAACACACAGTTAACATCACTTATTTGAGTGGGAATCGCTCCAATAATTCGTTTAATCGATAAAATAATCATTTTTGGGTCTTTTTCCAATTCTACTAGTGGTTTTCCCCTTGATTTTCTACTTTAAAGCACATTTTGTGGCGCAAAGTCGTTAGATTGTATAAATTATTGTACGCACTTCAACTCTCTCCCTGGGAATTGAGTGAATGGGAAAGTGGAGAGCGTGTGTGCCATAAATTGTCTCATCTCAATTTCCATGGACAGCCTAATGCAACGCAGGAGTACATTTTCGAGGCGATCCGATCAGATGAGCTCCAGCAGTGGGAGAACAAGCAGCAACAATTCACGAGGAAAGCCATCCTAATGACCGCAAATCTTATCGCGCCAGCCATTGAAGATTCATTCGATGATGGGTACAATTGGTGTGTGGAGGCCATTAAGAATTCGAAGCATCAATCATTAGCGTCAGAGTTGGATTTGAATCGGGCGATAATGTTCCTCAAGCAGGACGATCCGACGCAGGCGATAGACTCGCTGCAGTACTTCGAGAAGCGAGAAACCAACGTGGCCATCAATGCGTCCATTAATTTAACATTCATCTATCTCCTGGTGAGATTTATTGCGAATTGCACCATTTAGATTCTTGCTGGACACACTCTTCCTCTCTCTCAGCTTTATTTATCCATTAATTTCACCTTCACGTGGAATTGCTTAATTCGTCACAATGATTTAGAATTGCCACAGCCTCTCGTCATTTGTCTCTATTGCGCACACTTTCCACTTATAGGGAATTTCGCAATTTTGAGCTCCATTTCTCTCCCGGAATCTCTCGCTCATTTATTCAATATTGAGACTCTCTTTGCACACAAAAACACACACACACTTTTGCACACTTTTGCTCATTATGCAGATGAACAACTTGCAAATGGCATCGAATTACGCAGAGTCAATGCGTCGCATGGATTCTTACAATCCCGCCACGCTCATCAACAATGGCGTCTATGAAATGATGAGAGGCGATTATGAGACGGCCAAGAGTATGTTTGAGGCGGCGGTGGAGATTGACGCCACTTCCTTCGAGGCTCTGTACAATCTGGGTCTGGTCAACAAGCGCCTTAACGATTTCGATGCCGCTCTGGGCTACTTCCGGAAGCTGAGCGCCATCAGCATCCACGAAGTCCATCCGCAGGTTCTCTACCAGATGGGGAATCTCTACGAGCTGGTGAATGACACTGGCGCCGCTCTGGAGCTGTATCTGCAGATGCTGGGCTCGCAATTCCTCGACGATGAGATCTTGAGGAAGATTGGTCTGATTTACGAGCAGGAGTCTGACCAGCAACTGGCCTTTCACTACCACCTGGAGTCCTACAGGGTGAATCCGGTGAATATGAACACCATCAACTGGATCGGGACGCACTACATCCGACTTCAGGTGGCCGAAAGGGCGATTCCGTACTACGAAAGGGCAATTATGAACAATCCAAACAGTACTTTCTACATGATCAGGACAGCGGGATGTTGCATGAAGGTTGGCCATCACAAGAAGGCGCTGAGATTCTTTCAGGACATTTACCGCAGATTCCCGGACAACGCCGATTGCCTGCGAGCGCTGATCAGGATCACGCACAACAGTCATCCGCAATTGCATGAGAAGTACAAGCTGGAGCTGCAGAGGCTGACGAAGACCAAGGACACCAGGAAGAGGATCGGAAGCAGCGTCTCCTCGCTGAATATGACCATCGGCAGACGCACCACGTCGGCCATCACGCAAGATGGCGACAATTCCGCGTCGTCTGTGAACTTTGGCGACTACGCCGAGGAGAACCAGGGAAGGGCGTCAGAGGGCGCCAGTGAGTACTACACAGATCCTCTGGGACCCATGGCGGCCAGGCCCAGGACAGGGATGCGCCCGAAGACGGGCACATTCGACGAGGACACGGATGAAGACATTAATCCAGAGGAAATGTTGCCACAGTAGATGTACTCGCAAGGGGACAATCAGTCGCAAGTTGAGACCATTAACTTTAATAATTTTTTTAAAATTATTTGTGATTATTATTCAAATGTTGATTATTTCATACAAATTCTGATTATTTTCTGAATATTTAATCAAAATTTGAATATAAATTGAATAATTGTGAATATTCGGAATATTCTGATTCATTGACTAAAAATAATCTTTTTTAAATTATATATAAAAATTTGATTATTTTGTTTAATTTTCAATTTTACTTGGGGAAAAATTCTTTTTTTTTAATTCTCTAATTGAAAGTTTGATTATTTTTGAATTTTACTTGAGAAAATAATAATTTTTTGATTTTTCATTCAGAATTAGATTTTTTTGGTTATTTTGTAATTTTACTTGAGAAAATAAACTTTTTTTTATAATTTAAATCAGAATTGGATCATTTTTTAATTTTACTTTTGAAAATAATCTTTTTTTATTATTTAATTGAAAATTTGATTTTTTTTCAATTTTACTTGGGAAAATATTCATTTTTTAAATTATTTTACTCAAATAATTATGATTATTTTATTAGAGAACATTAGGTTTCCCCAAAAATCGTCTTGTGACTTGCCCCTTTGTGTACTCGTAATTGGACACTGTGTTGCACTTTTTCCATGTGTTTGAAATGTATGAGGAAAGAGGGAATAAACATAAAAAGAGACCACAACACAATGTTCAGAGTTTTCCACCCTCGAACTCACCCATGTGAATCAGTGCAAAATGCCATAAATTGTCCTCAGAGGAAGATTATTATGCTGTAGTTCACTTGTGTTGGGGAATTTTTCATTGTTGTGCTTTTTACGTTATCACTTTAAAGAAGTACGCAAACATGTTTAATTTTTGCAAACTTCTCTTCCACTCTGGAAGCTTGACTGGAAGTTTTTTTTTTGAAGCTTTGACAAGATAAAATCCACTTTTCAATATGCATATAATGACTTGAAGCAATTTTAAGCGATTTAATAGCGCGCTTTTCAATGTAACTTTGAGATTGTGCTGAAAGGAAAATTCACTTCCACAGTTCTGCCTGTTAGAGGGTATTAAAATAGAGAGCCATTTCGCATATTGTTGGACTTCGAGAGTGAAGCTAAACAAGAAAGTTGGGCCAGAATGAATAAATCCGCCCGCAGCTCTTGCATTTGGAGCGACGCAGAATCGCTTCGAGTGTCTAAAATAGCGCCACGAGCTCAGTTGGTTTCGATGCATTCGGAATTTTCTATTTGGCCATTGTTCTGGCCCAGAAAATGGACAGATGCCAGAGAGAATATTGGGGAAATATTAATACTCAGCTGTATTAAGTACTTGTGAGTCGGCAAGTTTACACATTTGCATGACAATTGAACTGCACGAATCGCGATAATAGGTGCAATTTTCAGACTTGGGCTGATTGTTAACACTCTAACCTTTGTTTTCCAATGTTTTCCTTGCAAAATTGCTCATTTGCCAAAATTTGTACATTTTTCCCGTGAAATCCACGTCAATAAATCCATTAATTTTATATTAGTTTGTACTCAGCGAAAAAGTACAGGAAATGCAATTAACTACGTCGTAGTATTACGTAATAATTCAGTTTAGTGGCCTTATTCATACTTGAGGATGTGAAAATAAAGATCTCGAAACGTAGTAAGGAGAAGAAAAGTCCATCTTCTAATAAGTAGAACATTGTAAATCAATTACGCTCGTAAATAATATTATTACGTATTACGAAGCTTTTTAAAACGTCGTATTTTTCACGAAAAAATTATCTACGGATGTAATTAATATCATAAAGTTATCATAAAGATTCTGGAAATCAACTACGCCGTAGTTAATAAAATAACGTATATGATCCGTAGCTTCTTTCAGACCAAATAAAAGGAACTACGCCCGTTGTTTGTACTATAACGACGTGGTATGAAATAATAATTCAAATTTGGTCCCCGCAAAATCAACTACGCCCGTTGTGCATATAATATCGACGTACTTAATTCGTCGGCGGAATATTGTTACATAATGACAGTTAAACCGACGTAGTTGATTTTTAAAGGCTAATGAATGAATCGTAGTGAATATGCTGATGACGAACTTGTATTTACTACGGCGTAGTTGCTTTTCTGCAGCTAACGTGGCTTTTCCTATGCCGTTAATATAATGTTTATAAATTGTTCTTTATTGTTTTTATTCTGGTGTAGTTGGAAACTCGGCCAAAAGCTACGTAGTATTATTAACTACGTCGTAGTTATTTCCTCTTGTTCTCTAAGTGTGACTAATTTTACTGTCTTTGGCGCCATGAGGAAAATGATTGAAAATCGTGTAAGACAACTTCTTGCCAGCGAATTTCAAAAATTATAGCTGAAATGGTTTTGTTAAGGAGCTTTTCATTTAATTTGAATTCTTGCAGCTGCGAATTCAAGGTTAAAGAGAGAACTTGACGCGTGCTTACAGTCATCGTGAATGAATGCGTATAAGAAGTGGAAATTTCTCATCAAATGGTTTTACAAACTTCCACACCGATCTCAAGATAAGACTCACTGGCGTAAGACACTCTCACCTTTCCGACTCACTTCGGGCAACCGAAGGAAATGCCCTGAAAAAGTCAATGTACAGCTCGTATAGCTCCTTCCGCCTTTTCACATTTCCATCAATTCGTATGGCGAAAACGTGACAAATGATTATTGAAAAAGTTTTTCTTGGTTGTTTATTGGGTTTTTCGGGTGAGATGGGAAATGAATTTATGGAAATAAAAGCGAGAGGCTTTCTGCAACTTTCAACTTTGGCCCCAATGAGTCTCTCAAACTGTGGAAGAGTGAATTTATTTTATTCACTTAGAATTCCAGTCACTGGCCGAATCTAATCGCAATTCGCCGGACGAAAGCTCTCTTTGGCATTATCATGGAGGCAAATGTGGGTCACAGACCTTATGGGATATATGTTGACATTTCGGACGCTTGGGGTGAACTGAATAAATAACGTGTGACGAGGTTTGCAGTGCAAAACAAGAAAATTAATATCTTATCGTCATTTCTCGACCTCAGACAAGCTGTCGATGTTTATGTTGAATCCACTCGATTTCGCCCAATCATATTTGCGCATATTATATGAATATTCCAGCTTCTGGAGCTCATTCTATCGCTCGATGGGTGACACGAGAGAGCCACAAAAATTGTGTACGCTTTCATCTATCTATATCCATGTCATCCCTTGGGAAAGTTTATTGCATTTGACAGTGATAAAATACCAATGAAATACATTTCAGCAGACAATTTCTTTAAGATCGTGCGCCACACACTCAAGGGACGTGCTTCGCAGTTTTAATTTCCGTCGAAGAAATAAATTCTCGGGGCAATGCAACTGATTGTTAACAGAGTGGAAGCACTTGTGGTGAGAAATACCAACTACGTGCTTCCACTCTCCTCGACATCCCTCTAATTCGATTCTGATACGCCAATAATGATGGGGAGCATTTTTGCGAATGATTGAAGATGTGCGGAGAAATGTGGGGTGAATTCATTGAATGTCTTTCGTCTGCATTTTCAATCACATCCCCGAAACGCATCTTGTCTCAAGATTCCTCCCTGTGTGTTTGTGTGCACACAAGGGAGGACGAAAGGAATGTCCTCAAGGGCCACCCTTTTGCGGATTATGTTCTTTCTTTTTGAGATTCCGATCGAGATTGGCGACTTCCAGCCCAGATTCTGGGGCGCTTCTTAAACATATTCCCATAAGATAGAAGCGAAAAATTTCTCCCCGAATCGATTGAACTGAAAGTGCTTCAGGAAATTAGAAGCAAAGAAAATCAGATTTTCACAAACAGAAAATCCTCCAACAGACTATTTATTCACAACCTTTTTTTTTGCAATTTCCTCCTTTGTTGCTGCACTAATATCCCATGCATTACCCTGCGGGATTGAGTGAAAATAGATGGCTTGGGAAAAGGGCACGCGATATCACGAGAGGTTATCAGTTTTATGGGGCCTCATTTTTCTAACCGATTCTCTCCTCTCTCAAAATGACTCTGAGCCGCACATGAACATATATATGATAATGCTGCTCAACTGCCGCTTTTATCCTAGGATAATTTACTGGTAATGCCCAGGCTGTCTGATGCCCTGAATTATACGTGAGTGAATCCTTGCAGAGCTTCTGGGATGTTGAGATTCTGCTGCATATAGGAAATTACATTTGAATATTTACCTGCGGAAAAGAAGAAAACTTTATCAACTCACGTGAAATATGTAAGAACACAAAGCAAATATTTTGATTCTCTCTTGGCATAAGCTGCTTTGAGAATTCATACGCGATTCCTTGCAAGCAAGGGGGAGATAATGTGTTTTGAATCTTCCACAGTTTCTATGCAAAATCTTCAACTCTTTTCCGACACTTCTGAACGCCTTTTGAGGCATTTTCCAAGGGAAAAATATTGCAGATTTTTTTAGGAATCTTAACAGATTCAATAAAATATTTAAAAATTAATTTTTATTTCCAAATAAATGAAAAATAATCATATTTTCCAGGTAAAATTGCAAAATAATTGGATAAAATATATTAAATAATTGTTTTTATATTTAAATATTTTCGGAATATTTAATAAAAATTTAAATTCAAATTAAGAGGAAATACAATCGGAACTTCGGCATGCTTAATTCCTTGAAATGCTTGTGAATTGTGAGGTTGTGAATCCTGCTTTAAAAGTAAAACCTGCGAAAATAACAAGCAAAGAGAAATTGTTTTAGACATTTTTGAGGTTATGATTGAATTTAAGGTGTTTTCTTCTTAAATTTAACCAATCTGAAGTGTCTTTCGAACACAAATGCTCAATTCTGATGAGAAAATGAGAAAAATTCTCTGATTTTACTCAAATTTGATAATTTTCAGTGTTGGTTCATCACAAAAATGGGTTCTGAATCAATCACATAACCTAGAAAAGCGATAAAATTGATATTTATAGGGAAAATATCTTCTCGCAAAGCTGTTCACCATTTCTTATCCTAATGTCTTCCCCTTGCTTTCAAGCATGCAAATCT